TATAACTAACCAATCTGCTTTACACTTTGTATGAAACATACACATTTCAGTAATAATGGCAGACTATATACGTAAGACAAACATGGCGCACCCAAGCACTGCATCAGTTTTCACTTTTCTTTATAAACTTGCATCGGAGCTGCAACAGTTTCTGTTTGTTATGATCTGAGAAAATGGTTGAGGGTCACCTGGGGTCCGTTCTTCGTACGTGGATTACTTAGTTAGCTGGATTTGGATATTGACGATTTGACATGATCCAGGATCGTTTCGTTCTTCGAAGCTGATCTGAGAGTTGTTGTCATGGCAACAGTTCTTCTAGCTCAAACCTGATCGGAAGCAGGTTCAATTCATATAAACAGGATTAGATCGGGTCAGTTCAAGCAAAGATAATAGAGAAAGTACCGAATTATGATATTTTCTTACAGTAGTAGTTATATACACTTGGGAAAAAAGTTTTAAAAAATTAACTATATATATAAAGTTATAGTTATTAATAAAATAAATAAAGTTATATTAACAAAACTTATGCAATCTGCACCCACGAAATGAAAGTACAAAGATAAAATTTATTGATATGAACTTTTTAGATCGCTTTAGTACAATTTGTGTATGATAATAGAAATGCAGAATATGTGACTTTTTAAAAAAAAGAAATAATACATTAATGCAGTCATGAACATGTTAGTAAATATGCCAGTGATTATGCTTCACAAAAGTTGCAGACGCCTTCACCAATATGCTTTTGTAAACATCCAGTTATTCCATACAGCGATTAAAAAAACGGCTACTGTAATGAAGAAAATATTTTCTAAATGTAGAACTAAATACATTGATATGCATTGAAATACATGATAAATACTCTTGACACATGAAAGTGTAAAGCCTGCAGTTCACAACATACGTGGAAGGTTATTGCGTGTCATATTTAACAAACCGTCGACTGCTAGTTTGATGTAATTTTGCTCACATGGATAATTGAATATTAATCAGATGATGTCATTACGCTGCTGTTTCGTCAGCCAATCGTTGCATTGCTGATCATGATTTCGAGGATCGATAGATCTGTCCTTCACAACACACGCAGCGATCTCAGATCAGTTCATCCAGACATTCTAATCTGATTCACGAACTTGTTTGAAGAACCAAATTATCCAGAGATCAGTTATCAAGATTAAAAGATCCAGGATCGGCAAAATCATCTTAGATCATTTAAACGAGGTACGAAGAACGGACCCCTAGTTACAAGAGATACCGGGTGAGCGCGAGCACACGTGCTTTTCCCTTCAAGTCAGAATAACAACACATGCAAAAATGAGTGCCGTAAAGCAGCGAGGAGATTGTGAATAAAAAAGGATATAAGAATGTCACCAGAGTGGCTTTTTGGTTTCTTTTCGTGTGCATCCCAGCCACTAGCTCCTCTTCTGAAAGATTTTTTTAGCGTTGGTGGTAATATAGTTGTTCAACTTCATAATTTTTAATGTTGCAGTATGTATTTGAAAAATGATGGTTCGTTTCTTTACTTGAAAGCTCATATTCGATTATCATAATTTGTTTTGTTGACAGAGTTTGAGGTTTACTGTATCATTATTAACGTTAAAAATATATAACGACACCTTAACGTTTGCTTTGTTTGTTCAGTATTTATGCTTTACTAGTATTGCACACACTTTGTAACATTTTTATTTATCAAATTTAGGAGTCTCTTCAACACTTTGTTTTCTTTATTATGAAGAGATGAAATACTTTGTTTTTAAATATTTTTGTTTTTTGACTATTAAAACTATTTGCTTTTGTAATGTTTGTAAATTAAAATAAAGTGGTTAAATAAAAAAATCCTAATAGTCCTAAATGTATAGTCAAAAAATATTCAGTAATTATCGATATCGAATGAAATGAAACATATTGTGATAATTTTTTTTTGCAATATCGTCCAGACCTAAAGTACTATTACTTGCCAAAAATGTAGTGCAAGTAGAGGATGAGTATGTTTTCTAATAATTACTCAAAAGTAGCCCTTAGTACTTGAGTAGTGATTTAAATTATCATACCCTGCAAATTAAAAACGTAGATTACGTCATGTAATCATCATGTGTTTCAAACTATTCATGGACTAAACAATTTTAAATGTGAGATTAATTCAATGTGAGAATCAATTGCATTAATATGTGCACCTTTATGCATTTACATGCAGAGCGAATCTGTAACCCAAAGGGCAGAAATCTGGCTGTGACAATATGTGAATGCTTATGTACTTTAAATCCTGACTAACAAGCAATGAGTGTCCAGCAGTTGGTGCCACAAACCAAGCTTGTGTAGCACTGATAGATTACATGAAATTGTATATGTATTTAAAAACGTACCATTCTGTAGTGAATTTGATTATATTTTAAGGACATGTCATGATTTCAGTCCTCATGCATTTCAGCAGACATTCTTTGTTTTATAGTCTGACTTAGTGTAAATTAAAACTTAGTCTTTCTGTTGTTGCTCTTAAATGGTTTCGTCTTGTACACCTAATGCTTCTCCTCTAAACATGTATGCTTATAAAGTCTTCCTTTCTTAAAGTTAGTCTTTTTGATGCTATTTTTGTATGTGCAAAAGGGCTGCACAATTGATCTAATTTCTAATCATGATCACTGTTACACAATTACAATTACTGTTACACAACATGCCACAATTACAAACAAATATGATATTATGCCATGCGATTGCAATGGTATAAAGGTAATTAAAACTTCAATTATGTACATTGTTATAACCGTAATTGATAATCGCAATTATGATTTCAATGGAATAATCGACTATTATGATATTTTTTTTGTCATAATCGTGCAGCCCTAATGTGCAATGTGATTGGACTGAAATCACAGGTCTGGTTAATCTACTTGCCAATCACCATAGACTAGATTAAATAAAGTAGTGACCACAGATAGAGGGAAAATAGCACAGATACAGAACAAAAATGTAAAAGAACATGTTTTAAACTAAAGTACAATTGTTGTGGAAATTACAGTAATTTGAGTATTTGTAATTTTCTACTTTACACCATTGGGCTTAATTTCTGATTGCTTGTACAAATTTGGCTGGTGGATGAATAATATGAAGATGAAGATATGTTTGGAGACAATGGATCCAACATTTAGTGTTGTCCTTAGGCATGGGACGATAATCGTTGTCAAGGTTTACCACGGTTTGGAAAAGTCAAGGTTTTAAAACCACTAAAATTTTCTCCTGAATTGTTTCTGCAGTATATGTAAGATTTTTTTTAATGACTATTTTGTTTTTTAGAACAACAGTAGCTCTAGCAGGAAAGATATCCATAGATGCCATTTTAAATTGTAAAGAAATCTTTGTTTTAGAAACTAATGAAGACAGCGGAAATCAATAGCTATGTTTCCATCTAAAATTGTGAAATAACTTTATGGTCAACTGGAATATCGCATAAAAGATGAGCAGCATTTCCATCCACCGGGTCAAAGAGAACAAAATCATCACTTCCTGATTAACTGATGCCAAATATCAACAGTAAAAATAAAATTTGCTGCGTCGGAAGAAGCTGCATGAGTCTTTTCTTCATTTAATAAATGACTTGTGCCTCATAAGACAATCTTGGCATGCAGTGAACGCGTGGTGGCGGTTGAAGGTGCTCAGCTTGCTGCTTTGTCAGTTCACTCACATTGTCATCATCACATGATCTCCTATAATAAAATCACATGACTTTTTTTTTAAATGCGTATATTGGAATTTGTTCCGTAAAAGTGTTTCCATCGTTTATGTTTAAGTTTATGTGCATCTTTTATTATCGAAATAAATAGTTTATCTTATTCATTTTTTAAAATGTATGCACATCTTGGCGTTTCATTTTTTTTTATGTGCTTAAAAATAGGTGGATGGAAACGTAGCTAATGATTCATTTGAATTATTTAACCTGACATGTTCACTGTTCCAAAATATTATAAATGTTTCTAAAATAAAGTATATTGTGCTCAAGGGGGAAAAAGTTTTAGTTTTTTTACCCAGACATTTAAAAAGAATAGATTTTAGAGCAGTAATCCCAATACCGTGAAACTGTGATATTTTTATCCAAGGTTATCATACCAACGGCATCCTATACCGGCCCATGCCTAGATGTCCTAGCAACTAACCAGAACACCCTAACATCATCATAATGTTGTTTTGGGGGGGTGGGAGGGGGGAAATCAAATAAATTTGAGGTTTTTAGAATTGAATCCTTTTTAATAGTTCATTTATTAGTTAAATGTTAGCATGCTACTCATCCCCCACTGTTTGTGCTATGTGATACTTCAATCATGCAGCTAATTGTGCCATTTTCGGCTGCTGGAAAAAAAAAATCATCTTACACAGAGCACCTTAGCAACTGTAAAGCAATGCCATGGCAACTGCCCAGAATACCCTAACATCACTGTGGCGAGTTTTGCACTGGCAAACACTAGGGATGTGCTGCATTTCCCAACAACTTGTTTTAAATTCCTGAATAATTGGCTTGGTAAAATCTTGCTTAAAAAAGCCTTCGAGTTTTTCCTCCCAGAAGTCTGAAAGTGGCCTGTTTAGAAAGCCTTGCTCTTAAGATATTTTTATTTAGAGTAACACTGAAACAAATTTGTCGGCACTTTTTGTTTTTATCACACACCATCTGGTTATGAATTTGAGGAAAAGACGCACTTCCTTAACTTGTAGACACTTTGGTCAACAGATGCTCTGATAGACTCTGAAACTTCACCACAGTTTTCGAATCTCTCAAAACATGCTGCTTTAAATTTAGAGATACGATGCGACTCTCTGTTGAACAGTTCCAGATCAATGCGAGTTCTAAATTGCTCTGCTACAAAGTTGTAATCCATTTTGTACAGCAAGAAGTGTTAAAAAGCATACATAATGTCCTCTTGCATGTACTGTGTGTATCAAACGCTTGCCAGCAGGGTTTCCCTGTGACTAACAAGAGTAAAGAATTGAGTCTTCCTTTCTTCTCTCTCCCGCAGCGGTGCCGTACCCTCCCACAACGCGGCTCACCATGAAAGAGCTGTACGAGGACGGCAAGCCCAAGGTGGAGCTTTTGAAGAGCCACCTGGTGAAAGAGGGCCGCCTGGAGGAGGACGTGGCCCTACGCATCATCAACGATGGAGCCAACATCCTCCGCCACGAGAAGTGCATGCTGGAAGTCGAGGCGCCCATCACAGGTAGGCTGTTCTGATGACTCACTTTGCGGTGACACTTAAAAACCTGTCGTGATTCACAAGCAACGGCTTCATCCAGGATGTGGTTCTCAAAGGAGCTTTTCTCGCAAAGCCTAATGCCACACAATCACAGAAAAGCACAATGCCCACTGGTGTTGATACTCGCCCACACACCTGCTACCTTAGAAGCGAGTTATTTTGTTGATCTACAGGGAGACAATTCACAGAATCTCAGACTCATGAAGATACCCTCAAGGTTCTGCGGTTACTTGATCGGGCGTCTCTATCATTCGTAATCTTTTTGGTTTAGTCTTGACCCCGACATAATCCTCAAGCCAGCAAGATAAGCATGATTATTTTCATACGGAGTTAGTCTTCCACAGCAACCCCTAATGTGGCTGCTCTATAAAGGTCAGAGAAACAGTTGCATCCTAGACTCTCTTTCGTGCACACCCCCACACTTTAATTCCCCAGCGGAGGCCACAGGAAACCCCCAGCACTCGCCATACACTCGAGCAAACACACAAACAGGTGTGTGGATATAAATGGGCACGTCTATCCACATCTAACCCCCCCTCCTCAACCACTCTTTGCTCTCTCATGTTTTTCATAACACACACACACACACACACACACACGCATGCACATACACCGTGTGTAATGGTTCAGCCAAAAGAGAAAACTGGAAAATATTCGGCACATATGATTGAAATGGTGTTTCCATCTAACCTCTTCTAGAACTTTAAATTATTGAAAGGTAAGAGGAAATACTGTTGGTTTGGCCACATCCTGTTTGTGACCACTATAGATTTGTCTCACCATGCTGTTTTGAGTGGGCCTAGTATTTGTGCACTTTAGCTAGTAGGTTTTAATATTTGTGCACCCACAGGATTTCTGCTTCCATCTCTATTGCAGACATGTATTTGGCCTTTGCAACATTTTTCCAGGTTTTCACTCTGGCCATATCGTTCTAGTGAAGTCACACTTGTTGTTGCTGTACTTCAGGCATTTGTCTTACTGTATTTTGTCTCTGTCGTCAGTGTGCGGAGATGTCCACGGGCAGTTCTTCGACCTGATGAAGCTCTTCGAGGTGGGGGGTTCCCCGCACAACACACGCTATCTATTTTTGGGAGACTACGTGGATCGAGGCTATTTCAGTATTGAGGTGAGTGCTACCCTGCAACGATCCTAATGAGGTATGTAAAATAGGGTTAAGTGGTCAACAGCTGAGTCTCTCTAAAATGTCTGGATAAGCGTATTTTAAGAAAGCTGTATGTTCAATATGTGTTAATCTCTATCAGGATTGTCTGTGGCATGATGTTGATTACTATAGAAAATCGTTTAACCTTGCCTCCTAAATTTGGCTGTATATCATGCATTGGTATTTAAGCCTATTTGACAATTATTATGAACAAAGAATAGTTTTTATAACCTTACTGACTCTTAAGAGCATAAAACCTTATTTGTCTGTTAAAATGAGACCAGTGTGATGTTTCACTTTCCTTATAGAATGTAACCCTAATGTAAGAATGTAACTCTAGTGGGGTTTGATTGAAATATGAGTACAACACAGACCAACGGTCTAAACAAACCAAAAACAGTGTGTAATTCCACCAGAAAAAGGACAGAATCCTCATGCATACCTGTCTTCTATTGGCCTTATTTTTCAATTCAGAAGTGTGCCCGTTTTTGCTGTTTGTTTTAGAACAGGGGTACCCAAACTCTGTCTTGGAGGGCCAGTGTCCTGCAAAGTTTAGTTCCAACCCCAAACAGACACCTGGGCTAGCTAATCAAGCTCATATCAGGCTTTCTAAAAACATCCTTGCAGGTGTGTTGAGGCAAGTTGGATCCAAAATCTGCAGGACAGCAGCCCTCCAGGACTAAGTATGGACACCCCTTTTTTTAGAACTTCTGATTTAGTTGCCTATGGGAGAAATGACTTGGAATAATAAATACCAGAAAATGTCAAATTACTTGCTCTACAAACAAGTTCTTGCATGACTATACGAAGTAGAATAAAATATCAGTTTGCAGCATAACAAGCTGTTTTTAAAGGGCCATGAAACCCCCTCGTTTCAGCAGGGTGTTTTCACACCTCTACTTTGGAAAAAGTCAGAAAAGTGGGCGTGTCCAGCTCTGTTTAGGGGGGAGTGTTGGAGGAAGAAAAGTGGGATGGTGTGGGAGTGTCTATTTGGGCACGCGCGAGTTTCAGAGTCAAAATACACACACACACACACACACACACACACACACACACACACACACACACACACACACACATACAGGAGAAAGTGATGGTGTTTAACCTACATGGACATCTGTAGTCGAATTATTTGCCAAATTATTAAATGGTGGACTTTAACTGCAGTTTGGCTCTTTCATTCAGGGAATTCATTCATGCCCCTCGCGACAAACGAGATATTTGATTCAAGGAGTTGCTCTAAGTGTGTATTTTTCATGCAATGTTTTATACCACACGCCGAATGAGAGAAAAAAAACCTCCGCATTTCCCGGAAACTTAGATGCACACGGCAGGTAGCGTCAGAAAGCCGCGCGTGTTATTCCGGTTTCTAAATGCGGTAAAAACCCTACACGAGGTTAAAGTTTGGTTGTGGTGCTAACGTGTTTACACTCTGTGCAATAGTTTGTTAGATACGAACAAACTGAATAAACAAAGAGCACTGGTCGCTCACTTACCAAATCTGTAGAGACAGGACAATCACCAGCAACTAGAGCCGCGTCTTTATGAAGAGAATACTACAAACGAATCCAGATCTCAGCGTTTGCAGATGAGAACAGCTCTCAGGTAAACAATGTTCCTCCTTAGACACGTAAGTTATTGTTGTCGAGCGTCGCGTACACTGTAATCCACACGTGACTCTGAGCTCTCACAGAGAGAAAATAAAAACGAAACTTAACTGCAGCAAACTATAAAAGCAACACTTCACGCTTGTTTTGCCAACACAACGTGGCGTCTCTGTCCTGAAAACACGGTGATAGTAATGAATATTAATGAAGTTGCACAATAGAGCGCGCTGATTGGTTTGAACCAAGCCTTACTCATGCATTAATGCATCACACTGTAAGACGTAATAAGACTCACTCTGGCACAGACGTCCAGTCTGCACGCTGGAATAAAGGCTATTATGTCATGACCGTGACGCAGCTTCAAAAATTCGTTTCAAACCGGAAGTACGAATCTGCTTGAAATAACGCAAAAACAACCAATTTACACTTTTTAGTGTAATATAGGTGTCTTAATAGTGTTTTTAGCAGTGTGGGACACATATACGACTGTCAACAGCTCAAAAAATGTGTTTTGGTGTTTCGTGACCCTTTAACATCTAAAAATGAATGTAAGTGAATAAGACCGAATGTCTCGAGCCAAAAAGATTGAAATGGCTGCATCCGCTCGTACTCGAAAAATAAGGTGAATAATATGGAGGTAGTACGGTTCAGTAGTCATAAGAAACATCTTGCATCAGATTTTTATTTGAGCATGTGATGATGATATTCCTGGTTCAGGTTTTGATCCTAATAATGACACTTTTGAACACTAAGTGAACAGGACTAACTGTGCAGGGTTAATTAGCAAATAATGGTATTGATCATATCAACATCTATATTGCACACAATGTGGAGAAACTTCAAGCGTTCCAGCAGTTTACAGGCACTTCACTATTCAACCAAAAAAGGTTGAATTAATAAAACCTGATTTTCAAAAAATGCAATTTCCCTAAAAAAGTTTTGATTGTGTCTGATTTATCAACCGATTCAAGCGTATGCGTATGCTCCGGCTCAGCCTTCACGCAGTCGCTTACCCCTCACCGTGGCTGACGTGCACCTTTCAAAAAAACGTAACATGTTGCGACTACGCATAGCACAAGCTCTGTGATTGGTCGGCTTGGTATCGCTGACAAGTGTGAGTGGGGATGAGAGGCGCGGTAACCCATTGGAGCGAGTGTTTACAAGTGTTGAGTCCTGTGAAGGAGCTCCAAGTTAAAAAGTTTTGTTTTGCGTTTACCTTATGATTATTGTTGTTGCATGTCCACTGGTCCCCACCTCAGAATGAGTGAGTTTTAGCTACTTGTATATTAGGTAGCATTAAAAAAACACACACACCAGCGAAGATACTCGACACAGAGGAACATTATAACACACTGCCAGCTAGCTTTGCGGAAGTGTTATTGCAGAGTGACACAATTGCACAGAGAAGTATAAATGCACAACAACGTGCAAGGAAGGCTGTGGGTCATTCTGATCACTTGACGTAGAGGTATAAAGACATGGTTTAAGACAATCTGAAGAGCCTACCAAGTTCAGTTATGCAAATGTATCTTTTCAAAACCATTTTATTTTTGCCTTTGGAATTTGCCTAAAATCATGGTACTTTCCTGCTTCAGTAAAAATGTCACAAATGCCACAAATGTTATCAATAAAGACAACTCTATTAAAAATTCAGAGAGTTTTTGTTTGTTTTTTTTTAAAAGAGGCTAGTTTTCTGTTTAAATCCCTTTTATAATCTCTATACAAAGTCTTGAGAAAATTTCAAGGCCATTTCAACACATCTGTGCCAAATGAAGTTACATCTTGTGCTTTGTCAACACTAAATGCATTCACATTTTAAGTTTCTTTGCACTCTGAATATGCCATGTGGCAGTTCTATTCAAGTACCCTCTGTTGTACCATGTATTATGATGATGCAATCAGCATGTCACCCCTGCCTGTAACACGTGTTGTCATTGTAAAGCAACCACAAAGATGAAGCAAGTGGCATTAAAGGATTTATTGATCCTGCCATCCTGCAGTTCAGAGAATGTGATTCTCAACACTGGGGTTATGTGTAATTTTTTTTTTCTTGTTAGAGAAAACTTCTGGTAAGCTTTATCAGCTGGCGTCTTTTATATTGTTGGGGTTGATGTCTGATGTCATTCTGAATGGGCTGGTGAGTGTGAGTCCTCAAAAAGCTTCCACCTCTGCGTCGCGGTTTGGCTGCAAAGTTCAGGGAAGGGAGAAATGTCATGGTTAAAAGAGGCTGCGAACGAGAGCAGACACACCGCTGCTCAATACCATCAAACACAGCTGAGGGTCCATGGCCGCCGGCCACCTGAGATGCATAGAAAGAGAAGCATGTGTGTTTCACAACAAAGGCCAGGCTGAGTTCCTACTCCCACCCTGGACATCACAGGCCACAAAGCACTGAACTTCAGTCATCCGCCACACCACCCGCTAACTCCCTCTGACTGGGACGCTGCAGTCATCAAACGCTTCCGTAGGTTATGCCACCAGACTTTGCCCCACCCTGAAACCCAGAGCTGTGTGGAGAACTCTTTATTTTTGCAATTTCTGTCAGTGTAAGACTTGATGAAACAGCCACCACTGCTGGGCCTTTTTAAAGATAACTGCGACCTAAAGCAGCATATCCTTCCTGACAGGATGGAGAAAAAAAAGTGTATTCTGCAGAGTCATCTTAAAATCAAAATTGACAATTGTTACTGTTTACAGTATTTTTGTCATATATTGCATTTGTTCTGGGTTATCCTTAAATTTATTTATTTATTTATTTTATTTACTTATTTTTGTGTAGTGCCAGGGCAGGTAAACCTGTCACTCATATTAGGTCAGCCTGTAGCAAACCACAACCATGCAACAGTCCAATCAACTCTCAGTTGAGTAGATTAGTGGGCATCCACTAGGCCTGCACGATTCTGGCTAAAATGAGACTCACCATTTTTTTTCTTCTTCTTTTTTTTTTTTTTTTTTTTTTGCTTAAAATCAAGATCACGATTTTGTAGATGTAAAATAAAGCTTAATATAAGGAGGCTATTATTATTGTTAAACAAATGGTAAAACAACAATAATAATATTAGGCATATGTCTACTGTTGGTTAAAATGCTGCATTTTGTGTGGACTTGAACAGACTTTAAATTCGTCCTGATTGTTAATTTACAGTAGTGAGGACATCAGAATAAAACTATTAATAATTGTAAAGTTGAATTATTATGTTTGAGACACATGCTTGTCATTTGTCGTTGACATCAATTTTAGACCCTTTTATTCACTGATAAAATAAAATCTGTCACCTTATTCCCTCTTGCATTCAACATTATTATACTGACCCAGTAAACATTTATTTTCATGCACAACACTTTGTGTTCGTTATG